CTCTCTCTCCCAATGTCTCGACGCTTATTACCTCGAATTTGTTACATTTCAAAAGGACTCATGGCACTTTGGAAATTTCAATTTTTTACATATTTTTCTTTTTTATTCCCTTCTCTCAATATTATCTCCACTTCATTTAATTCACTAAACAGATACTATAAATGACTTGCGATTCTTTTTTTTTTTTTTTTTAAACTCTCATTTTTCTTTAAATTATCAAAATTTTATAATTTTCCTTTTACTAAAAATTGGAGAAAAAAAAAATCACTAATATTTGAAATTGACGTTTTTTCTTAAAAACTATATATTTTATTCGCAAAAAGAAAATTACCATGGTAACAAGAGTCAAATAATTATTATTTTATTTTTTTTTTTTTGAAACGAAAAAATAAATTTAAAAATTACAAATGTATCATTCCATTACCTATATTTCGAGTATTTCGACTGAAGTTGAATTTTAAAATTTTGACAAATTTTAAAAAATTCTTATACTTTGGAGGAATGATTTTAATGGAATCAAAATCACGAAATAAAAATTTTTTATCAAAATTATTATTTTTTGTAAAATATAATTATAATTTTCAAATTATATTTCACAAAAAATAATAATTTTGATAAAAAATTTTTATTTCGTGATTTTTTGTAAAATATAATTATAATTTTCAAATTATATTTCACAAAAAATAATAATTTTGATAAAAAATTTTTATTTCGTGATTTTGATTCCATTAAAATCATTCCTCCAAAGTATAAGAATTTTTTAAAATTTGTCAAAATTTTAAAATTCAACTTCAGTCGAAATATAATGGAATGACTGAAATATATAATATATTAAGTAAAGTTTTTTTCTATCAACATTTTTTTATTTTTTTTTTTATTTTTTTTTATCTAAAGTTTCTATTTCTATATTGAAGCTTACTACAAATTATCTAAGTTAATTAAAAATGGACGATATATTTTCCTGATTTTCCTTTTTTAAAAAAGGACTTATTATTATATAAGAACAATTCCGTAACATTATTTTACTTTTGATGAGGTTTTTTTTTTTTTTTCTTTTTTTGTTTTCTGTTTAAAAAATAATTAACATGAAACTATGTGGAGCTTCTATTATATAATTGACACAGAAAATTGTTTAACAACCATACACTTACAAATATATATATATAATACTATTTGTCTTGCTTTCGTATATGGGCATATCTCTAGAACTTTTAAACTTTATGTTATCGCTCATTATGATACCTTAAGAATTTTTTAAATAATTTTTCAATACCATAATTTGACCAATTATAGGGCTTTTTAAATGTATCATGCGGTATATAATTTTTTTCATTATGTAGGAAATGACGAACGTAAGTTAAAGTGGTGAAATCGACAGTTTCTAGTGTGTGATATTGACTGGTTTTTTTAGTTTATAGACTGTAACTTTTTTAACGAAACATTGTGTGTCTTGTGGCTTGCAATAGGAGTCGGTGGGAGTGTAAAGAACTAAAAAATCCATGAAACAATGATGTGCCTCAAATTGAATAAAAACTATGTAGCTTCAAACTTGCGAGACAACTTTTTCAAAATTTCTACAAGTTAGCAGTTAAACTGATATAACTTTTTTAACGAAGGTTTTTGAGTAACGGCACAACGGGATTATATTATCTACCTAATAAGCAGTAATTTGAACCCATACAGGAATGTGTGCCTCCTTTACACAAAGAATGCAATGACTTCAAACATTAAATTTTAAAACGTAACTCAAATCAAAATACCACATATTTGAAAAGCACATGTTGAATTTTGCTTCTAAATGCTCCCAACTCATTGTAATCTCTTCTCATGCATTATAAAAGTATACAGAAAAATAGTTAACCTTTGCACACTTCATTAAAACTGTATAATTAATAATGAATATAAACCTAAACTGTCCGACGCATAGTTTGTGAAGAAAAGTAAGTATTAACTAATAGATGTGTTTAAATCTGGCTGATATTTCTCACTCGAAGGTTTTTGGGGTCGCTGCGACTACTAATCTGAATTTTAAATTTTCCAAAATTCAAAATGGCGAATCCAATATGGCGGACGACTTTTTAAAAAAGTGATCCCATTGGCCTCAAATTTGTTACTTGGGGGTTTTTGATGTCGCTGATTATGAATCTGAACTTTGTTTTTCCAAATTCAAAATGGCGGATCCAATATGGCGGATGACTTTTAAAAAAATTGATCCAATTGGCCTGAAATTCGTTACTCGGGGGTTTTTTGCGTCGCTGACTACGAATCTGAACTTAGTTTTACAAAATTCATAATGGCGGATTCAATATGGCGGATGACTTTTTACAAAATTGATCCCATTGGCCTAAAATTTGTTACTCGGGGGTTTATGGGGTCGCTGATTACGAATCTGAACTTAATTTTTCAAAATTCAAAATGGTGGATCCAAAATTGCAAACAAAATTTTTTAAAAAATTTTTAAAAAAATAATTTTAAAAAATTCAAAAATTGTTATAAACTACATTTACTTATGACTTAATAAACAATAGGCCATAAAATTTTTGAAACTGTAGCATTAAATCATTTTAAAGGTGGTAGCGACCCAAAAAACCCCCGAGTAACAAATTTCAGACAAATTCGATCAATTTTTTTAAAAGTCGTCCGCCATATTGGATCCGCCATTTTGAATTTTAAAAAACTAACGTCGCATTTGTAATCAGCGACCAAAAAAATCCGCGAGTTACAAATTCCAGTCAGTTTTAAACACATGTAGAGATTTTGGGCAGGTTTTTTGCAATAAGGCCCACTGTGATGCCTAACAATGTGTAAAAATGAGTTACGCAAATTTTTTTATAGTATTTGATCAATACTGAAGACAATAAAATTTGTTTCACGAATGTGCCCTGAAAAAAAAATTAATTTTTCTAATATCTCAAAGTTTAAAAGTTCTAGAGATATGCCCATATCTTCATGCAAAAATCACCTATAACGTCAGGTACGAATATAAAAAAAATAATACATTTTATACATTTCTAGGAATGTTTCTTTACAAATTCAAAGCACCGAATAACTTCATTATTACAATGAAAAAAAAAATTTATTTAATTCAAATAATAATCGATTATTTGACTATTATCAAATAAATATTTACTTGAACTAAATAATTTTTATTTGAATTAAAATTAAACTGTATTTGAACCAAAAATTTCTGTATTTGAAACAAATACCATTTAATTTACTCAATAATTATTTAATACAAATAAATATTTATTTGCTAATAGTCAAGTAACCGACTATTTAAATCAAATAAATTTTTTTTTTCAGTGTATACAATTCTCATATTATTTATTCTTCAATTTTTTTTTTATATAGAAGTGTGTGTGGCACTAAAGTCAATTATTTAAAATTAATTTCCGATTCCAAATTCTGATTTTTAGAAGAAAAAAAAAAATTATTAAACTGTATAGGAAATTTTTCAAATCGCCCTTCTTCTTATAATCGGAAAACAAAGAAACGTGAAAAATATGAAAACTAAAATTTTATTTTTTATTTTATTAAAAGCAACCAATTTAGAAAAATGGCACCTGGCCGAAGAGGTTATTATAAATTAGTTAGAAAAAAAAAACAAATCTTTATTTGTGTTAATTTAAAAAAAAAAACTAATAAATAATTTCAAATTTACATAAAGTTACAATTAAAATAGTCCCGAAGAATATTAAATATTTTCTGAAAAATTGACGAATTAAAAAAGAACAGTAAATATTCATATTTTCTGAAATATAGAATAAATGCACCAAGATTGGAATTTGAATTTTTAAATTGAATTGCAAGAGAAAATTATTTTGTCAAATGAAAAATTTACTATAGAAAATACATAAATAATTTTGATAAATATATATATAAGTTTATAGATAAAAAAAAAAGTTTTAAACTTCCCTGCAAAATGTCAAAATTAATAAAATTGTAATTCTATTTTTCTAGAAAATTTAAAAATATTTAAAAATTAAATATTACTTAATATTATAAGTACTTTCAATGGTAAACAAACAAAAAAAATTATTTCTTAAATTTTACAAAAATTTTTCTTCTCTTCGATATTGAAACATTAAATTCTATTTTGTTAATCAATATATCAAAGAGTACTAAAAAGTTTTGTAATAATTTAATAAATTAGTTTTTTTCTAAACATAATTACCTTCGATTAGATGTCATTTTTTTAAATTTCTTCACCTTTTGTGAATTAAAAAAAAAATTGTTTTCCTACTTTTTCATTTTTAAGAAGAATTGATGCCCTCCCATAACCTTAAAACTGAAAAATGATTTTTAACGCAAACAAAAATTTAATAAGAAATGATTTCAAAAAAAAATTTAGAAACTTTTCTATTCAATTTTCGGAAAAATTTTTTTTTTTTTGGTTAAAAGTACAAGTATGTTATTAAAAAATTATAAACAATACAAATTTTATTTATTAAATAATTTTTTAACATTATACTTCTAACAATTAAAAAAAAATTAAATTAAAATTTGCAGAGAATATTTCACTGAATAAAATAATAGTCATTTTTTTGTCTTAGCTGAAAGAAAAAAAAATTTCTAAAATTGTCTAAAATTATTACTTTTTATTAAAGTTTTTTTTTTTTTTGCGTTAAAAAATATTTTTCAGTTTTAAGTTTAAAATGAAGAATTCTATAATTTTTTACCTAAAAAATATTTCTTGTAATTTTCATGAATCAACAAATAATTTTTTTTAGACAAAAAAGAATAGAATTTTTCATTTAAAAAAAAAATTTCTCTAAAAATCGTTTATCATAAACGTTGGGTACTTCAGCTTCGTCTTTTATCATCCACAAAATTAAAGAATTCAAATTTGAAACTGTTGAAATTTTAAAAATATTTAAAAAAAAAAAAACAATCGAATCTACCTTTCTCAAAAATTGAATTCAATTTTTAATACCACACACCGTTAAAAAAATCTCAAAACGATTTAAATTTTATAGATTAGTAAAAATCAATTCTTCATCTTCTTTTTCATCTGTATACATTTATTATGCAAAATGAAAGTCTTTGATCGGTTAAAAAAAAAAAAATTTCATCAAAAACAATATCTTTAAAATATTTTTTAATTTTTATCCTAAAACTCAATAAAATGATGGTTTTAATTTTAACTTTTTTTTTTTTTCAACAAAAGCGAGAATTATGCGCGCAATTTTTATTCTTTTTTATCATCTTGAACGGTAAATCCTACTGTTATATTGGAATTGTCCTTCAAACTGCCAGCTAATGTTAAAACTGGTGATGTTTGTTCCTTTTGCTCGTTCGAGGAAGAAATTGGGGAAGATAATTCTTTTTTGGAAGATGATTTCCAATTTTGCAAATCGTCACTCGTCATTGTTGAAAATGAACTCTGTTGAGTGAGACGCGATGGCGCATCTTTGGAACTTACAATTTTTGGATTTGAAACACTTTGTGAACGTAAGAATTGCTTCTTTTTTGTTGATGACGATGCAGCAGAAGAATTGCCAATATTTCTAAAACTCTTCAAAAATGATGTATCTTTCTTTAAATCGGATGTTGTATTTTTATCACAAATCTCTGATTCTGATCGTTGGAGGAAATTCATTTTATTTTTATCGAATGTATAACTTGAACTTAGTGAACACGATTCTTTTATTCTCACGTCTTCATCTGTTATTTCCATACTTTCAACTCGAAATCTAAAACAAATTAAATGATTTTCAATTTTATGACTTTTCGCGAGTAAAAAGAAAAAAATAATTAATTAATTTTTTTTAATACGTTTTTTGGGGTTGCCACAAATTTTGCATTATTTCCCTGATTTTCAGACAATATTTTGTGTTTTTCCCTGACATTATCGAAATTTTTTTCATTTTTTTTTTTTATCAAAAATGTGAATTCTATTTTTAAAAAAATTCTGATAGATGAAAATTAGATCAAATAAAGTTAAACAAACATTGTATAGAGAACAATTCAAATTCTAAAAAAAAAAATTCAATTTTCAAAAGTTATAACGAAATTTTCATTACTTACAATTCTTTTAGTTCAATATATTAAAAAATTAAATTATTTTCAAAAATATAATTTAAATTATTATTATTATTTTTAAAAAAATTTAATTATTGCATAATTTTAAATCACTTCTTCGATAACTGAATTATTTTTGAAATTTTTAGTTTAAAATCTTTTAAAAATAGAAAAAGTCAAAACTTTTAATTTCAACTCATTCAATATTAATTAATTTCTAGATTTAAAAAAAAATTATTTTTTTAGATTAGATAAATAGACTTATTTTTTTTCATTGTGTACTTATTGCAAAGTTTTACAATATTGATTTATTTCTATTAAATACATGTAATTATGTTACTTAGTTTTGAAATTTAATCATTAACAAAAAATTTAATTGCTAAAATTGGAAAATTTAATTAATTAAAAAAACTTTAACAAAAATTCTTCGAAGTTTCTATTATTTGCAAAAAAAATTTAATAAAAATTCTCGAAAACTCAATTACTGTTAAAAATTTGTAAAAAAAAAAATCTTCAGCAATTCAAATTTACAAAAAAAAATTTCAATATCAAATCTTCTGAAATTCAGTTAATTCTAAAAATCTTAGTAGGAACAATTCGAAAATTTAAGTATTTATAAATTTTTATCTAAAATTGTCGCCAAATCAATAATTTTTAATAGTTTTTCAAAAATTTAAGTATTTAAAAAAATTGTAAATTAAATTTTTTTTTTAAATTTAATTATTGTCTAAAAATTTGTATAAAAAAAAATCAGGAGTATTAATTTACAAAAAATTTCAATTTAAAATTACCTGCAATTCAATTATTTCTAAAAATATAACCTGTTAATCTTCAAAAATTCAATTATTTTGATACATTTTCGAAAATTTTGTACGTATTTGTGTGCTAATAATTGTAAAAAAAAAAAAAAAATGTGTCGATTCATTATTGGAAATAAAAAAAATTTTGTAATGTAATTGTAATTGAATGAATTTAATCAATAAAAATTAATTTTAATTACAGAATTAAAATGTTTTTCTAAATTATATATACTTTTAGAAGAAAAAATTATTTAAATCTAAGAATTTATTTATTTACACTCATTTTTAGGCAAACAAACTTTTTTTCTATATCGTTATTACATAAATTTTTAAAAGTGATGAAATTTTTTTTCCTTTCAATGGCTTATTTTCTATAAAAATAGATTATCTGCAATTTCATCGAACAAAATTTTGAAAAAATAATTATTTGTTCTCTAAAATTAAAATTAATTTTTAAAGGGAAATATAATTTTATTCTGAATGTCTGGTATCTAGCAAGAGAAATACCTTAATTTTGTAATTTAACCATTTATTTTAAACTGAGATTTTCATAGTATTTTAAAATGTAAATATTATTTTATAAAATAATATTCAAGATTTTGTTTTAAAATTCAAAGTGATTTAATTATTTTCCTGATAAAAAAAAATTGAATTCAAGGAGAATTCAATGTTTTTAAGGTTATGTGGGCAAAGGACGTTTTTTTGTAGTTCCTTCAGTGGCCACTTGCTTGCGAATTGGTGCTGTTTACTGGAGCACTCAAGCAACGTCTGTGTATGCGCCGCCATGTTTATTTTCATTTTCGTTTAAAAAATCTCACTTTTTAAACATCATTTTTTTTTAATAATAATTTAACTTAAAATTATGTATTTTTCGAAGAACAGCGCGATTCCTTGTGTACCCTAATCTATCATTCCTCAAAATTTTAGACAAAAATCTTTTCTCATTTTAGAGTGAAATGTATATACCACCAAAACACATTTTCCCATACTAAGTCACGTGAGTGGTTCCCACATACCCTTAAGGCCAGGTCTAAGTGAGGCAGCGCCATCTACATTGAAACTAAAATTTTGGAAAATTTCCAACAGCCTTTTCTTGAAAACAAGAAGATAAAATGCTTTTTCCTTTATGGATAATTGATTATTGGCAAGAAATACACCAGCTAAAACATTTTTTGAGTTAAAATAATGAAAAAAATTTCATGTCAATAAATTAAATATGAGCATTTTTTTACAAAAACTGTTGAAAATTTTCCAAAATTATAGTTTTAATGTAGATGGCGCTGCCTCACTTGGACCTGAATACTTTGATTTTTAACACACAAATTTTTAAAATTTTGGTTTACAATAATGTTTCAGCACTTCTTTTGTTTTTTTTTTTTAAATTTCCTAACTTGTGGCAACCCTGGTTTTTATTTGCAATAAAATAATTACCTTCCGATTCTTTTGAAATTACTCGATTTACTGTTGGGATTATCTTTTTGTTCAAAAATCGATTTTAGGTCTGATTTCTTTTGTTCTTCGCTCTGCCTTAAAGTTAATGTATAATCTTCTTCGTCGTCTAAAACTTCGTTGTTATCTGTTAAATCATCATTGCAAACTGGCGCTTGTATATGTGGAAAAGTACTTCCGTTTCCACTTCTTCGTATTTGTCCGTCTTCATTACTATAATAATCAGTGTAAGAGACACTGCCTCTACTTTCACGATTATCCTTATCGATAGTTACACAAAAATCATGAAAATCAAGGTCAAGACGAGGTGTTGTGAATTTTGAACCAGGATTTTGTGGTTGAGTTCTAAAATATAGATCACAAATCTTGCTCTTCTTTTTCTAATGTCTCTTTTTTTTTTGTTTTTTATTTACTTACCCATCGATGCTGATTAAGCTAATTGACATGCTGCTCTCTCCAGCGGATGTTGGAGCTGGAGACGAAGGTTCAGAGGATAAAAATGATGGCGGTTCACTACTCCAACCAGCGCCTATTATAATAATAAAAAAATAAAAATAAAGGAAACGAAATATAAAACTTGTTTTTTTTTTAAAGATTTGTTTTGATTTTTATGATAAGAAATGACGTGAAAAATTATAATTGATAAAACTGATGTGACAATCAGGTATAGAGTTTTACGTAATCGTAGAAACACTTACTGTTTGGACTCGTTGGCGAGATCTGACTTCTGATATCAATAGTATCGTTATCAGTTTCTGGCTTATATTGTAGAGGCGATGGTGTTATGTATCTATCGAACAAATAATTTCTATCAAACATTCCTTTTCATTAAAATCAACTTTATTTTCATTAAAAATCTCTAATAGGTTTTTGACATTAATTGTAACATTAATTAACAAAACAAAAACATTAGTAAAAATACAGATTTACATAATTTTGATTAAAAAAAAAAATAGAGGAACAAACAAAAAAACTATTCACAAAAATGAAAACCTTGATCCCAATTATTAAAAAGAGATTTAAAATAAAAAATTCTCTGTAAATGCTTTTAATGTATATCTTTAGTAATATTTTACCTTGATAATAAGTACATATATACTGAAATAAATCTGAATGAAAATAAAAATAAAACATTAGAGGAAAATAGAAGAAGAAAAAAAAACAACTTAAAACTGTTGAGGGTGAGAGAGGAAAGCTATATACTCACTGATTAATTTGTTTAAATATCTTACGGTACCTGACAGCTTCCGAGTCGGAAGAGCGGTACTCGCGATTGATATCTCGAATGTTGAGATGCGGAACCATCGATTGATTAATAGATCCACCGGGGGATGGAATTTTTGGTGGTGACGATGCTGGAGTACGAAATAATGGTGCACTTGTCATTATTTCCAAAAATCCATCCAACTGTCGTAATGACAAGGCATTGTGTAAAGTTTCCAGTGATCTGATTGGTGGCACTCCACCGAATCCTTCTATAGCTAAAATTTAAATATTCTCACCTATCATAATTATACCTATTTCGTTTGCATACTTGAAAAAATAGTTCTATTTTAATTTTTCGTTTTTGAAAAAAATTGCAGATTTCAACCTCATTATTTTCTTATTTTTAATAAAGATTTTGAAAAAAAATGTTCGTGAAAAAAAAAAATTTTTAATTATGAAAAGACAAGCCTATTAGTCCGAAATTTAACAAACATATAATTCGAAATGAGTTCGGAATAATCCGAAATCTCTAATGAGTAAGAAATCCACATGTAATGAACAATAGTCCGAATTTTGTCCCATTAAAAATCTTTATCCGAAAGAATTCTGAAGTAATCCAAAATCTGCAACCAGTGCGAATAATTTGTCTCGCGTCTAAATGTAAATTGTTGGGGACTAATATCGGATCTGTATGTATACAAATATCCCTATACCAAAAATAGCCAGATTTTAACTATTGACGCGGTACTGATACCAAAGTACTCTCTAAATCTGAATCAGTCATATTTCACTGATTAGCAGTAGAAATCTACTAATTGCCATAGCGAGAATTGAGCAACTGATAATTAGTAAAATATCAATTACTGATTGAATCAGTAATATAAATATATGGCAGCGGCCGCAAAAACTACTGATTTAATATAGTTAATTTCAAAGGTTATGTTATATATAAATTACTGTTTTACATAAGTTATTTTCTATTGCTTGTATATTCACTAATTAAATTAGTAAATTTCAAAAAATAACTGAAACTTCAGTTAAAATGAAAAGTACTGATTGAATTAGTAAAATTTCTAATGATTCAGATTTAGAGTACTGTACTGCGCCAATATTTAATTTTTGATATGGATCGGGATTAAAATTTTCAACTTAAGTATATCTGGATTGTTTGGAATTAATTCTAAATTAATGCTGACTTGTCTTTTGCCCTGCACTAATGAGGATCATTTTCAAACTGTTTTTGTATAATTTCAGAACTAATCCGAAATCACTTAGATATTTTAACCAAAGAGCATTTTAAAGACCAATTGGTTACCAAGTAATTTTGATATGCCAGTTCATATCAGTTTGATTAGACTACATTTTGATTCGGAATCTTTGAATTATTTAAAAGTTTTGTTTAAAATTAGCAATCGTACTTATAGAAACTTTTATTTTATATGGGTGATTCTCCTAAAAGTGTCCTTTTAGATGTTCCAATTTATTTTATAAAATCTAGGAATTTTATTGAATATATTTCGCTGGGTATATACTTCTTCGAAGTATTTTGACTTGCTGAATCCGAATCTGACCTCAGAATTGACCCAGCACGTCAGGTTTTCGAGATATTCTAACCCAAAAGTGCAGAAAAGACGTTTTTTGACAATATTTAAAGTCGTGTAACATTAAGATACAATTTTTACAAAAATATCGTTACAGCTTCTGAAAGTACTATTTTTACTTTTTAAAATGCATTTTGAAACTTTAAAAAATCTTTATTTGCCTATGAGTTATCATCATTTGAATTTTCTGAGTGCGGTGAATGTTTCAAAATTCGTGCATCAGATAATGCTTTAAAAAATCCAAATAACGATAACTCATAGGCAAATAAAGATTTTTTAAAGTTTCAAAATGCATTTTAAAGTGTAAGAATAGTACTTTCAGATACTGTAATGACCTTTTTGAAAAAAAATTATATGACCTCAAATATGGTAAAAAAAAACATCTTTTCAGCACTATTAGGTTAGAAGATTTCGACAACCTGACGTGCTGGGTAAATTCTGAGGTCAGATTCTGATTCAGCACGACAAAATGCTTCGGAAGAGTACAGTCTGGTTCTTGGTTCTGAAGTAGGCCAAAATTTTGTCGGCCTAACCCCTTGACAGTCCATGGCCCATATTATATGTCCAGAAAAAAATCGTATCACCTTTGTGAGTTTGGACATATATGTTTAAAGTAAAAAAAAATACTAAACATAATTCGATTTAAATGTCAATGGGTATACTAAGGTTTTTGGGATCGCTGAATTTGGTCCATAGTTGAAACTGGTTAATTTATAATACGGTTAACATGGCAACTTAAAATTAAGTAGTTATAATTTTTCTCTCCTTGTATTGTATTTTATTTTTGAAATTACCCGAGGCGAAATTTAAGCCCTAATTTACAAGGAGTAAAGTAGGGTTAAACAGACCCTCTTTAGCTTCCTCAACTAGTCGCAAAATTCCCTTTCTTCCACGTTTGGATTCAAAGTAGGGCCTACGGGAGTCTACAAGATCGTAAAGAGGGCCTATTTAGGTTCTAAGGGAAGCTAAAGAGGATTCAAATTTCGCCTCGGGTAACTGTATTTTTTTTCAGCATCATAAGAGTAATAATAAATAAACAAAACTCACCGGCAACCGCAGAGGCATGTGCTGGTATCATATCCTTGAGATTAGGAGCGCTTGATGAACCGCTAATAACAGCAGTGCTGAATAGACTGTTGGCTGATCCAGTGAGTTTCTTACTAACGTTGTAACCCAACAGCTTGAAATAACTCATCTGTCCAGAGATACTGTGACGGTGGCGCCTTGCTGTGCAGGTAGGGTCAGGTTCAATGATTGAAGGTCGAGTGTCTGGAGATGAGAAGGACCTCTGATGCTGGAGTTTTGGGATGGGAATAATTTTTGGACTTTTGGAACGTTGGTTTTTTAAGTAATGACAATTATGATAAAAGATTTTGTTAAAATGCGCAGTACAATAATTGAAGCCAGGCTGATTATTATCTAATTCTAAATCTAATGAGCTATGAGCCTTGTGACAATAATGGGAACAAATAAGGCACATTGGATGCAGAGAATCTAATGAACAACTGGAATTAAGGTAACAAGAGGTCGAATAAGCTGTGTTAAATTTAACTCCCACATTTGGACATGACATTGATCTTATGGATTTGCAATTTGTCTCTGGTCTGCCATTAAGTCTCCATTTGTTAGTCACTCTCTCAATACTCTGCCCTTCGTTTAAAAAATCATAACTTTGCCTTTCAATTGTTTTATTATTCTTGAGCTGCTTTCGAAAGCGTTTACACACGGCAAGTGTACACTTACATTCGGAATATATTGATGTCTGTTGTGAGTCTCTCCCATTAATCCTTCTAGGATATTGGGGACACTTTGCCTCATACAGAGTGAATGATTTTTGTTTCTTATGATCAAAACAAACGGGAGATGATGATCTTGTTTGTTCATTCTCCGATGAAAGTGAATAACAGGAACAATTGTAGAATTTGTGCGAGAGTGATCGTACAAAATAAGTGTTGAAATTTGATCTTTCAGATGGTGATAGATTGAAACTTTGTTTTATTAGTTTTGAAACGTTGCAGTTATAACATATACAATTCGGAGGACACGGTGACAGGGAACGTGATCTTTTAGTAAGATTCTGAATTCTTTTGTTGTTATCCACATCGAGATAAAGTGGACGTGATCTTTTTGATTCTGATCTAGTGTTAGAGTTGGATATAAATTCAGGTTCTATCAATGATTTGTGTTTTAATAATGGTTCAGGTTCTAAATGTGTTTCAACTGTTAATAAAGATACAGGTTCTGTTAAACATTTTGATTTTAACAAAGATTTAAATTCTACTAAAGATACAGATTTTGATATGGATTCGGAATTAAATTTTATATTGTCATTGGATGGAGATTCGTTTAACTCACCACTGACTTCAATGTTTGGTAGAATCATTTCCGAGTGTGATCGACCATATTTCTTGGGCAGTAAATATTGTGCTGTGAGATCATAGGTGTCATTAAGAATAATAGATTCGTAAATATCATCAGCTGAAGATATGTTGGTATTGGGTGAAGCTAGAGGAGTGCTATGCAAAGTGATAATTGGACTTGGTGGATCATTAGGCATCTCTAGAATTGGGATAGGCAAATCAGGGGAGCTGACAGAGTGTGCAAGACACACTGGCTTTCCGAGACATTTTGGCACATTCAGACTACAGGATGTTTCAGCTATAATTATCAGCAATTTTAAGAGAAATTTGTCCATTTTTATTTTGTTTTTTTTCAATTCAATGTCGCAGGGAGTGCAGCAAGGTGAGAAATTGGATTTTGCAACGAGATAAAAGGAAGGGGGAAAAGAAAGAAAAAGAAAAAGATTACTAATTAAATCCCATCACCAAACATACCAATCATGTACCTAATTGAATCTCTGTTTTTTACTACTATAACTGACACATTTTTATGTTTCTATAGTGAAAAATCAATTCAAATGAGACTATTAAAATTCATATTATTTCTCTTCAAAAATTAATTTAATGGAGACAAAAAATATTAACGGAATCTTTTCAACGATCACTATTACAATAATACAAAAACCCAAGAAAAAAATCAAAATTTTACATTTTATGACAGACATCACTGACACTGAACACTGAATAAATTAAAATATTGTTAATTAAAAATTATTTTATAAAAATAAATGCCAATTATTTGCAATAATAATATTAATAAAAATAATAATTTGAATAAATTAAAAAAAAAAGAAGAGTTAGAGTCTGTCTTTAAAGCGATTTTATACAGCATAAGCCAATTGTATAATTATATTAAACATCAAAATAATTTCACAGAATTCAAACTCAAAATTTTACTTACCAAGAAGTTTAGTAAATTTTGAAAGATAAAAGTTAACAACAAAAATGGCAAAAAAAAGTGAAATTATTCATTAATATGAGATATTCAATGAAGAAAATATTGATACTATAATTTAAGTGAATTTTGAAAAGTGTGTCAGTGTAAAAAGCTGTTAAAATATGGGACTGTTAAAGCACAAAAAAACACAGATGCAGCCATGCTATATTAACATAGCTAAAAAGTATAAAAAATGGAGTATATTGAAATATTATATTAATGTGTACATTATTATGTTAATGGGTAATATAACCTGAATTTCCTCAAATTTTTCCGTTTAATATATGATGTATTCCACGCCAAAGTGAAAGTCCATCTGTAATTGCATCTCCGATTTTTTTTTCTTTTAGTACTAATTGAGACTAGCTTCCATGAGTTTTTTCAAATTTTTTTAGCAAGCCGTTTTCGAGTTATAGAATTTTGAAAATTGGAAAATTTCCATGACTTTTAATTTTTGAATGCTCATAATTTCCTTAAAAGTGCATCAATTTTAAAAGTCTTTTTTTTCAAAATGTGTGTTTTTAAACGTACTTTTCAAAAAAAAAACGAAATTTTTTTTTTAAGGGTATGTGGGAACCTCCCACGTGACCTAGTATGGGAAAATGTGTTTTGGTAGTATACGTTTCACTCTAAAATGAGAAAATAGTTTTGTTTAAAATTTTGAGGGATGATAGATTAGGGTAAAAAGAATCTCGCTGTTCTCCGAAAAATACATAATTTTGAGTTAAATTATTAAAAAATTAAGTTTAAAAAGTGGCATTTTTAAACGAAAATGAAAAGAAACATGGCGGCGCATACACAGACGTTGCTTGAGTGTGTCAGTGCTCCAGTAAACAGCGCCAATTCGAGCAAGTGGCCACTCAATGAACTACGATTAAATACATTATTTTACTATTTATTGCTTTATTTCTATTATTTTGGCGTTAAGTTATATCAAATGAGTAGAACAGTCAGATTCCTTGTACCAAACAAAATCATTTTTCCAAAATTTTAAGCCGAAATCATTTTTTATTTCAGATAAAGTTTCAAACCACAAAAAAACGTCCTTTGCCCACATACCCTTAAACGATATTACTATCAAATTTTTCACTCACAGTTTTCCTAAAAGTATCAAATTGAGACCAAAAATTGCATCAAATCTTTGCAACGTTTTGATGCACATAAGTTATATCAAAAAGAGATCGTTTTGTGTATCATTTTTAGAAATGATACACGAAACGGTCTCATTTTTTGATGCAAAAAATTTAATCAATTTATATCAATCATGGCCGAATTGAATAGACTCAAAATTAAACGAATTTTTTTCAGATACCATTTCACTATTTAATTTGAAAATTAAAATAACAGAAAATCAAAGACAATGTGCAATTCGATAATTAAAAAGTGACAGCTTATAAACATAACCTAAAATGCATGAGAAAAAATTTGTCGATAAAATCAATATAGCCGAGCTTTTTAGAAGGTAGATGGCAGTTTTGCTTTTTATAAAAACGATTCAGAAAAAATTTAAAGAAAGAAAATAGATAAGTGCTGCCATCTACCTTCTAAAAAGCTCGGATATATTGATTTTATCGACAAATTTTTTCTCATGCATTTTAGGTTATGTTTATAAGTTGTCACTTTTTAATTATGGAATTGCACATTGTCTTTGATTTTCTGTTATTTTCATTTTCAAATTAAATAGTGAAATGGTCTCCGCAATTGTACTATTACCAAAATATCTGAAAAAAATTCGTTTAATTTTGAGTCGATTCAATTCGGCCATGATTGATATAAATTGATTAAATTTTTTGCATCAAAAAATGAGACCGTTTCGTGTATCATTTCTAAAAATGATACACAAAACGATCTCTTTTTGATACAGCTTATGTGCATCAAAACGTTGCAATAGAAAAAGATACAACCAAGTTTACTGTGGCGCGCTTTTAATGATAAAAAGTCATTTTTCTCATTTGACGTACTGATCGATTTTTTTCAAAATTTTATCAAAAAAAAACTACTTCTTTTTACGAAACTTTTAAGCCTAGCCCGATAATGGGCAAACAATTTTTACAGTATTTTCGGAATTTTTCAAAAATTATTGAATTTTGAATTTTTTAAAAATATTTTTGGTTTTTTTTTATACTATGTACTTTTATGTATTTTGGTGCGCTGATTACGAAAATCATAGTGACAATACCCAAAAATGTGATTTTATGGTGAAAACCATAAAAAAGTCCAAAAATTTATTGTTTTTTTTTCGTTTATTGGGTAAAATATGCAAAATTAAAAAAAAACTTTCAGACAAAAGTTATAGATCTTATTAATAAAAATTTTTTTTTATATTATGCATTTTTTTTAATTTTTCATATTTTACCCAATAAACGAAAAAAAACATAAATTTTGGGACTTTTTTATGGTTTTCACCATAAAAATCAAATTTTTGAGTATTGTCACTATGATTTTCGTTATCAGCGCATCAAAATACATAAAAGTACGTAGTATAAAAAAAACCAAAAATATTTTAAAAAATTCAAAAATTCAAAAATTTTTGAAAAATTCCAAAAATATTGTAAAAATTGTTTGCCCATTATCGGGCTAGGCTTTAAAGTTTCGTAAAAAGAAGTAGTTTTTTTTTAATAAATTTTGAAAAAAATAGATTAGTATGTCAAATGAGATAAATGACTTTTTATCATTAAAACTCAAAAATTTGATAGTATAATATCGTTTAAAAAAAAATTTCGACTCTTTTTTTTGAAAAGTACGTTTAAAAACACACATTTTGAAAAAAAAGACTTTTAAAATTGATACACTTTTAAGGAAATTATGAGCATTCAAAAATTAAAAATCATGGAAATTTTCCAATTTTCAAAATTCCCTAACTCGAAAACAGCTTGCTAAAAAAATTTGAAAAATTCATGGAAGCTAGTTTCAATTAGTACTAAAAGAAAAAAAAATCTTAAAAAAATCGGAGATGCAGTTGCAGATGAACTTACACTTTGGCGTGGAATACATCATATAATTTTTATTTTAATATTTTCGATAAAATATAATATGTGATGCGCTCTGAAGAAAGTGATCTAAGAAGCGAAAAATTGAAGGTTATGTTTTGAAATTTTAAACTAAAAATACACTGTAAAAAATAACAGTAATTTTATAGTGTCGGAATTTGGAAAAAAGTGACCTCACGCTGAAAAAAAAACTTTTAACACATTGTAAATTTACAAAATTCTACAATTTTATTACTTTTGAAGTTTTATGAGTTTTATAAAAACTTATAATTTTTTTATGTCGCTTAATTACTAGGAATTAAGTGTTAGAGTATTATTTTTGTATTTTAATATCATAAAATTGTTTTTTTTTAAAAGTATATAATTATTTAACTGACAGCGACATAATATGTGAAAAATTTACAAAATAAAAGAAACAACTTTTAGGTTATGTTGCATTCTGATTTTCCGGCTTGTAAATTTACAACGTGCTGAAAGTTTTCTTTTTACAACGTGAGGCGGGTGCTAATTTTTTTCCAAATTCCCACGTTGTAAAATTACTCTGGTATATTATTTACAGTCGTAAACATAACCTATAATTCCTTTGCTTCTTAGATCATTTTCCTCGGAACGCGTCGCAAATGGACATAAAAGAAAAATTGGTTTCATATTAATTTTTATTATAACTGTCATTTTTGTGAAGTAGAAAAAACATTCTATATATTCACTGTTATATAGTTAGTATAATATTTAAAATATTATACAAAATTTATTTACAAATTTTTTTTAAGGGTATGTGGGAACCTCCCACGTGGCCTAGTATGGGAAAATGTGTTTTGGTAGTATAAATTTCACTCTAAACAGAGAAAAGATTTATTGCTTTATTTCTATTATTTTGGCGTTAAGTTATATAGTAAATGAGAAGAGATTTCTTGTACCAAACAAAATTATTTTTCCAAAATTTTAATCCGAAATCATTTTTTATTTTAAAAAAAATTTTCAAACCACAAAAAACGTTCTTTGCCCACATACCCTTAAGTTAAAAAACAATTATTTTGTAAAATATATATACCTACAGAAAGGTAAATTTTATTTAGATGAATCTGATTCAATTTCAGAAATTTCGTTAATTAAAATAAAAAAAAAAAAACTAAATAAAATTTCATATGAAAATAAATGAAAAAGAGAAAAAAAAATAAAATTGAATTTTTTATTTTTAATGAACTTTCAAAAAAAAATCAAAATTATCTCAAAGAAAAATTCAGGAAAATTCAAGTGCTCCTAAACTTGAAAAAAGTTAATTTCACCAACATTGTTTTCTGTTACTTTCTCTTTTTTTGACTTTAAAAAAATTTTGTTTGCCAATTAATCTCATATATATAATTTAGCAATTTGAATTATTCCAAAAAATTTGATGCGCGTTTATAAAAGAGCATAGCTCATTATATATATATATATTTGTTTACAAAAGAAAAAATTTTTTTATTAAAAAATTGGGCAAAAATAAACGGGGAAAAAAAAAATTTCTAATCAAAAAATGAAGAAAATAAAATATGTTTTTTGGAATTTAAAGCACGAAACATTGACTAACGATATATATATAAAAAATGTTAATGTTATACCATTATAATTGATATTGAACAACATTTATACAATATAAAAAAAAAAGACATTGGAGTGAACAATTAATTCTAAAATTGTTGTATGCCCAACAATTATTGCGCGAATAAATTATGCTTTCATTAAATGTGAGAAATGAAATTTTTTTTTTTTTTTTTCTAAACGAACTGGAAATACTCAGTTTTAAGGAATAATGGGATTGAGGAAGATGACTGAATGGATCACAAATTATATTTTTGTGATCCAAACAATCGTCCGCTGAAATTAATTGGCTTCCACACGCACAACTATCACAGAGCAAAGAGTTATTTCAACTGATTTGCCTTTTTGCAGTTGATCCACACTCGATTTTCCATTGAACACAAATATTAAGCAATATATATTCTATTATTTACTATAATTTAATTCAAATGATTGTTTCTCTTTATTTAAAACAAAAAAAAAATAAAAACACGTTTCAATCTTTTTTTCTATCGGTCTCAAATGTACGAATATAGAAAATGTACTGTTAAGTATAATTATAAATTAAAAATGAAGAATATTTAAAAAATAAATTCTGTTTGCTGCTTTTTTTTTTGTTAACTTGAGGAAAAAATAGTTTTCGAAATTTTTATATTTTTTCAAAAACATACTCGAGGAGAAGCTGAAGCACAATAAAGATAAATCCTTTTTTGATATAGAAAAAAGTTCCACAGAATAGATAATAATAAAATACCAAATGCACAAACATATTGAAGCAAGACATTTTTTGTTCTGCAAAATTTTACCCAAAAAAAAGAGACAACTAGTAAAAGGACATTTTTGTCATTTCTAGTTTTCAAAATTATAATTTTTTTTCAATTTCTTTTTTTAAATCCGGTATTCTTCAAATTATTATTAAAATAATTTTAAAAAAAACAATTTTAAACACGAAGGGGAAAATAAATTTATGGATAGAAAATAATATGAAAAGAATGAATTTTTGCGAATATATAGTATATGGTGCAAAAATTCTATAGATTAAAAGTGAATTAAGAAAGAGAAAGGTCCGCAGTGCAGTAGTATATATTGCAAGACATTTCTACATTTTTCTACGTATTTAAAAAGATTTCTTTTCTTTTTTCTTTTTTTTGTCATCTTTAAGAAAAATTGCTTCAAGAGAAAAGATGGCTCTCTATGAAGGCAAATGTGATTAAATATACTCAAATTTTGTATTTACGGAGAAAAAAAAATCTACCCAATAGAGAATTATTCGAATATTTGTAAAAAAAAAATTGACAAATTTTTTTCTTTTTATAATTTTTCGTATTTCGAGAAAAGAACAGAGGGACATACCTTCTTTGTTGACCGCGTCCAAGCTCTGATACTGCAGCTTGTCCGCAGCTACAAGAAAAAGACACGAAAACACAAAACATTTTGACATTTTTTTAAAATGCAGACATTTTCAATTCTCATTCAGCATCGACACTAACATCTTCTTTTTTTAAGAGAAAAAAAAAAAACCAAGAAAAACATAATTATAAACAATTATTTATAATTTAAATATATATTTTTCGCGAGCCATGCCCTTGACAATAAATTTTACAGACAAAAGACAATGAAAAAAAAACACATTCTCGTATTGACAAAAAAATTATATACTCAAAATTATCAAATAAATATAGGAAAATTAGAAAAAAGTTTAAACACAATAAAATTATAGTTCAAAAAATTGTCTAACACCCAAAAAGGAAATTATTTTAATAATTCAATTTATAAGAAATGGAATAATAAATTTATCAAAACAGAAATCAATTAAAAAAGTTGAAGAGTGATAAAGTTTCAAAAAAAAACTGAAAGTGTCAGTAGTAAAAAAGAGAGAAATATTAATATTAAATTATAGTATATGAAATTTTTTTTTATAGACATTTTAGTGGGATTATTTTAATTGAAAATATATTTTTATGAGATGTAGAGCCATTTTTTCAATTTAAAAATCGAAATGTTTTGTGACAAAAAAAGAAAATTCCAAACAGAAGAATAATATTATAAATTATAATAATTATGATACAACATGCAATTGGGAAAAAAAAAAAAAAAAATAGTGAATACATAAAAAAAATTGAAAATACATCCCCATTCTCAAGTTTTACGCATGCTATTACTTTTTATTTAATGCAATCTATGATAAAATTGGAATTATTTCTCATTTTTTTTTTTTTGGCGGGGGGAGGGATTAATGGAGATAAGTGTTATTACTAAATTATAAAAATCAATAATTTTATCTTTGCAATAAATTTCAATGAATATTTACATTGATTTAATATAGGAATATTGTGGTTAATTTTTGAATTTTTATTTTTATATAACTCTTGTTTATTGATATTATTATTGAAAATGAAAAACTTACTTTTTTCAGGTTTCTCCTGTCGTTGATGATCATAACTACGAGCTCGTGGTTCACAAATAACACCCGCTTCTCTTTCTCTTCTTTGTCTCTGACTAGCTGCCAATTGACTACCCAATCTCGCCGCTTCATGACCCGCAACTGTTCGAGCGCTGAATTAACAAAACAAAAAAAAATCTTTTTAATTGCAATTTTTAATCTACCAAAATTATTTTTCTTTTGTAATAAAAAAAATTGTCATCTCAAATTGAAATAATTAATAAATTTAATAGGAATTGTAATTTTCTTTATCGCTACAATGAAAAAAATAAGTATACCAAAAAAATTGCTTTTTATTTTTAACGTTGATGAAGTTTGCAACGTTTATGATCAACGATTGAAAAAAAAAAATATATTTTTCACTCAAAAAATAATAACTAATTTTTTGACTACAATTTTTTTTTTTTCAAAAAATTATTGATCAAGAAACGTTGCAAAAAAAATTTTTGGATAAATAAATAAATAATTTGGAATAGAAAAATATTTTCTCTTTTCAATCGTTAATCATAAACGTTGTGAACTTCACCGACGTTATTTTTCATATAATTTTTTCATTTAAAAAAAATTTTTAAAATATAAAATTTTATTTTTCCAAATTGTTGATAAATAAAAACTACAAGAAATATTTTTTAGGCAAAAAAAAATTATGGAATTTTTCATTTTAAAAAATTATTTTTTTAGAAATCGTTTATCATAAACGTTGCGTATTTCAGCTTCGTGGTAATACAATAATTAAATATTGAAAAATTTTATTGAAATATTTAATTAATTTGTTATTTTAAGAAATTAAATATAAAATTTCATTTATAAGTTTAATTAATTAAAAATTGTATCTATATTTTTTCAGTTTATATAAAGAGAATAAAAATGGAAAATAAAATAATGATACCTGATTGGAATTGGCGCAGAACTTTGCAAAAAGCCACTGTCATATGGTTCATCCATTAAAGCGGCATCCAAATCCATCATATCGATATTTCTACTTGTTGTTGTTGGACTATCCAAATTGGAATCAACAGAATCGATTTCCATCAATGGCGGTGTAATATTCTACAAAAAAAAAACATATATTTTACATTTAAATTTGTTTAGAAATTTCCAATTTCAATTGTATTAAACATTTATTATTACACTTACACAATGATGTTCATTATTTGCTGAATCATCTTCCAAAACTCCCAATTCAGAATCTTCTTCTTCAATTCGAGTACTGCATTGCGATGCATTATCCTGATTCGAACTTGTTTCACCCTAAACAAAATATTAATTAATCAAAACTTTTTTTTAAAAAATGGAATATATATACTAAAAGAAACAAAGTTCAAAATCTGTTTAAAAAAAAAAAGAAATTTTAATGTCTTAAATTTTTAATTTTAATAAAAAAATAATATATTTTTTTAATTTCAATTATTTTAGAAAAGAAAATATAAACTAGCGAAATATAATTTTAGAATAAATAAATGGAGAATATAAATGAAAAATTAATAATATTAATTTGATAGAAAAATGAAAAATTACGCCCCTTTTTTTTGTCCATGTATTAGAATATAGTTAAAGTAGAATTAGAAGAATTGTTAGAAGTAAAAAATAAAATCAAAATAATAAGTACCAATTTCAGTTTTCTTACAAGATTGTGGCTACTTTCATTGCGTGAATGGGGCCTAAATCCTGGACCAGGAGGGAGATTTTTTTGTACACAACAATTAACTCCCGGACTAAAATGTAATTCAACATGAAATCGTTCTTCGCTACATGGATCCTTGGTTGGATCCTCATAAAGCATTACGACAATTTGTGACATGTAATTTAATTCTGAAACCATGCTAACGTATTCCATTGCTCGCCTCCATTGTTCGTCTTTTACCACCTAAAAAATTTATCAACATTTTTTTTTTTCTTCTTTCTTTCAATAGAATTGAAAAATATATTTTTAAAAATTTCTTTCCAGTAAAAAAATGAATTTATTTCAATAAATAAAATTTCATTTAATTGAATTGTATTTATAAATGAAATAGTAACTAAACTAAATTAATTTAATTTCCTTTCATTCTAATTTAATTCAATAAATCTAATTTTTAAAAATTAATTAAACATTTTTCGATTTAATTAATTAAAAAAAATTTATTTCTTCTTTTTATAAAATTGAGCTTTAGACTGAACAAATTTTAATATATTTTGAATTGAGAAGAAAAAGTACATTTTATAAAATTAGAAAAAAATTTTGAAATATTTTCATCTTAAATTTTGAGGTGAATTTAATTTCATTTGAGAATAATAATTGCTCTTTTAAAAAAAAAATTCTTAAACTCACATCAAGTAAACCTCCGTAACGTAAAACTGTTAGTAAAGAATGAACGTGACTTTCGCTGGTAAAATAGAGTCTTGTTCTCACATGTCGTCCTGGACTTGAGACTCCATGAGAATATCTGAAAGATAAATTATTATTTTCTTAAACGATTTTTGTCATATTAATATCTTATGAAATTTATAAATAATTTATTCATAAGAAAAATGTAAATTCACAAAGACTTTGACAAATAAAAAAATTATTTTTATAATTCCCGTTAAAATTTTTTTTACTCAAAAATAAGAATAGAAGAATGAAAAATAGTGAAAAAAAATTTATTTTTAAATCTTGACAAAAAATCACATATTTTTAAATATTGTATAATTTTGATACCTTGGATTGAGTCTATTAACAGATTCTTCGCCAGATTCTTCGATATTTCGTTGAAGATCAGCTCTAATTTTTTTTAAAAGTGGCGTACAAATTCCTTGTCCGATGGTGAGTTTCTCTTGCACTGTCAATCCATATTCCTGCGAAAAACAATTATAGAAATGAGAATTTATTTAAATGAAATTTAATCTTTTCTCATCTATTGCATCAATGAAAAAAAAAGTTATAAACATCTAATTAAAATTTAATAGAACTTTAGTTCTTACAATTAAATTAAACAAATTTTCAAAATAGTTATTGTGATTATAGAAAAATTTGACATTTTTTTCATTAAGTATATAATAACAAAAATGTTTTATAAATTAAAAATATCTAAATATTTAAAACTCACTTTTTTTGTCAAATATATATATATATATATATATATATATATATATATATATATATATAAATAATTCATAAAAGTGTAAAAAAAAATAATTTCCTATTTGATTTCTACAACGATTAAAAAATTTGAAAATCTTTTATTATTATTGATAATGATCACACGCAATTGGTGAAAAATAATGTTGCAATTTTTATAATATTCCTAGTAAATCAATATTTACCTGAGGTATGACAATATCAGCGAGATATTTAGCATAAATATACAATTCCTCGGCTTGATCAAACTGCAAAGTATGATTATTATGCTGCAAATCGTATTTAATACAATCGTAAATGTCTGGAATTTTCGAAATATCAAATCGCTTGTGCTTTGTACAAAAATCTTTCTCAATTTTTCCCCAACGTCGACCCATCAATTCCCATGTTTCGCCATGATAAAGAATAGCATCTATTCAAAATCAAATAAACAAATAATAATTTAATTGGAATCATAAATATTTTTTTTATTGACAAAATCATAATAATTTAATTAATCAATAATCATTATTTATTTATTAATATTAACTATTTAAATAAAAAAATGTTAACATCAAGAAATTATTTACAATAGATTCAAATATAATTTAAAGACAATTTAATTTTCATTTAATTCATTCATTATTATTTTTTTTTTTTTTCAGTTAAAAGAAAACAGTAAATAATAAAATTTTGAGATTTATTAGAACGAAAAAAAATAAGTTTAATGAGTTAATTTAATTGAATATTGAAAATTTCAATTTTCGTTAAAAATAAAATAATTTTTTGACAATTTTCAAACCTTTTGTTTTAGGATCATCCTTTTTAATTCTAACAATATCCATTAGCTTTTGAATTAGGGTTTGAACATGTTGACAACATTTTACAGGATTTTTCACAAAATCCAATGCTGCATTAATACTGAGAGCATTACTGGGATTTATTTCCTCTCTATCTTCACGCGTGAATTCTTTATCTTGTTGCAATAATTCATGCAAACGTGTTTTCACCCTAATAAATAATATTTTAATTCAATTATTATAAATTAATCTATTAATACTAATGTTTATATTATATTTATTAGTAAATTAAAAAATAACTACCTTATTATAAATTAAAAAACTATTTTCAAACAAATATATACTGGGTTGCCTAAAAATTTTCATTATTAATTTTCCATGATCATGATTCAAATTTTTTCTAAACTTTGAAAATTTAATTAATTAAATAAATTTTCACAAAATTTCTTCGAAATTTAAATTATTTGCAAAAAAAAGTTTCAATAAAAATTTTCTAAAACTCAATTATTGTTAAAAAAAAAATTTGTCAAAAAGAAATTTTCAGGCAATTTAAATTTACAAAAAATTCCAATCTCAAATCTTCTGAAATCCAATTAATTCTAAAAATCTTAATAGAAACTATTCGAAAATTTAAGTATTTATAAATTTTTATCTAAAAAAAATTTTAATAGTTTTTCTAAAATTTAATTATTTTGAAGAATTTTTAATTAAAAAATTTTCTAAAATTTAATTATTTGCTGAAATTGGTATAAAAAAATTCAGAATTATAAATTTACAAAAATTTCAATTTAAAATTGCCTGAAATTTAATTATTTCTATAAAAAAAATAACCTGTTAATTGTGAAAAATTCAATTATTTTGATACATTTTCAAAAATTTTGTTTTTATTGTGTGCCAATAATTGTAAAAAAAGAATGTCAGAAAATCAGAAATTCAGTAGCGATTTGTTTGTTTATTTTTTGTATATAATCAGAAATTTAGTAATTTAATGTAAGTATAAATTTCAATGAATTTTGACGATGAAAAATTTGTTTACATCAAATTTAATTTTTTGGATATGAATTTTAACCGTTTATCTTAAACTGAGATTTTTATAATATTTTAAAGTATAAATATTATTTTATAAAATTTTATTAATTCAAGATTTTGTTTTAAAATTCAAAGTGCTTTGAATATTATCAAGGTTAAAAAAAAATAAATTCAATTCCCTGACTTTACTGATTTGTGGTAATTCTTATAAACAAAAATAAAAAAAAAACTAAGCAAGAATATTTTTAAAATTGATTTAATTAAAATTAAATTATCAAAAAAATTTTTTTTTTTAATTTGATTCTGTTTAATTTAACAGAATTTCCATTTAACGGAATTTTTATTTAAGAAATAAGAATTTTACTTTTTGTAGTAGTAAAAAATGAAAAAAAAATTTTATTTTCATGATCAATAATAATTTTAAATTCTCAAAAAAAATAGAGAACAATATTTTTAAAATTTATTGAAAATTTAAACTCACATATTCTGGTATTTACTACTATCGCAATCATTGTCCAATAAGCCATTGGTGTTTGCACTTTTCACCATTTGTACCAAAATTGGAGTAAGTTCTCCTTCTAGAGCGAGTAATCCTTTAGCAAAAGCTGCTGCAGTCATTTGAACTCTACCCTCATCACTAGCATAAATTTTTAAATCGTGTCGGAATGTTGAATGTAATCTCAAAAGACCAAGTCCCTGTGCTCCAGCATATTCACCTGAATAAAATTAATTTTATCAACAAAAAAAAAATAAAATAATTTATAATTATTACAGGGACATAAACAGTGCTTGCTGCAGTTTTAATTTTTCATAAACGAAAACTCTGTTTTTTGTTTTTTATTTTACGCCAATTTATTATATATAAATTAATTTTTATTTGTGCACTGTTTGTGTTTCTATTGAATTTCTAGAATCAAATAAATACAACAGATGCAAATGTTACAAAATAATGGACACTTTATAATAATGAATGGACGATCGTGAAAATGATATTTTATCTAAATTAGTAAATAATTTTTTAAGATTTTTAAATTTTAATAATAATTATTATTAATTAAATTATGTATTAATTGATTCTTTTTTATGGTGTGACTAAAAATTTGATTTCAACATTTAAATAATAAATTTATTTAATGAATTATGAATTTAGAAAGTTTGATGACATAATTAATATATTTATATATAATATCTAGTAAAATATTGAATTAATACAGTTAGAAAAAATGTTATTTGACAAAAAAAAAAAAAAAAAAAAAAAAGTCACACTAATACACAAACATCAAGCAGTTGGAGAATTAATAAAATGGACACATTGAGCTACATTAGCGCTGTCAGATTGAAAAATTAAAATTATTTTCCCTTTTGTTTTGAAAAATAGTAGGAAGAGAGATTTTTCTATTTCTGACTTTGCTAATTATTTTAAATAATAAACACTTTTTAGGATCTAATCGTGATTTTGAATATAACAACTTCTTTTTTTGATTTCTTATTCAATTTTCAAAGCAAACCATTGAGATCTGCGAACGAATTTTTAAATACTAGAAATTGAAAAAATTTGTCAAATTATAATTTTTTAATTGTAGAATAAAAAATTGTATCAAATTTATATCTTGTTCTAAGATATTGCATAATATAAAGAGAAATTTTTTTTAAATATTTCTTCTATCAATTAAATAGAAAAAAATAATAATAAAAAAATAAAAGCAATTTTAAATAAAAATTTAATTGTTAACATTGTGAATTGATCAATATTATATGAAAATTTGAAATCTCTTCAATTTCTAGTATGTATTATTATTAATATTTATAGGGTTGTAAAAAAAAATTCTTATTTATGCAGACATTTATCTACAGCTACTATAAAAAGCGTCCATTCAAAATAAAAGTTACCGTGATTTGGTAACATCTCAGTGTCATCCTCTGAAATAATATTTAAAAATTATCCGTGAATCACACACCAAGTAAATCCTAACAAATATTTAGTGAAAATGGTTTTACCAATAAAATTAATTATTGTCAGGAATTAAAACATTATAATTAATTTTTAATAAAAACGAGAAAAAAAAACAATCATAAATAAAAATTTTCAAAAAAAAAAAACAAAAACTAATTTTTAAATATTAAAATATTATTTTACAAATTTTAAGGTCCATCAATAGACAATGCAAATTTGAAAAGAAAATATTTTTCTCAGAGAGAAAGAAATTCATCGTTAATTTAAAAAAATATACAATTTAGATTTTTTGTCCTTTCGACAAAATAATAATAATAATAGGGTTTAACACCAATTATTACTAGACTGACTAAATTTTAGTTTTTGACTGACGTAGCCGTCGTCGCGCCAAGTGCGTTAAAATCAGAATTTTATGAAAAAAAAAACTCTTATTTGTATTTAAAAAAAAAAATTATATCTGCTAGCAAGAAAACGACCATAAGAACAAAAGATACGAACCACTAAGGTGTCTACCTTGACCGCCAGGATACATGCAACGAAATATTCGACCCAATTCCTCAGCTTGAATTCTACCAGCTGGCGTTAATTCGCCTCCCCATTTTAAAATTAAAACTAAAGACGGTTCTCCAAGTCGATCTGTAAAAAAAAACTGTTATTTTTTTTTTCATTTGTTACACAAAAATTCGCCGAATTTCTTTTCTATTTCATTTAATTGTTCAATAATTTAATAAATAAATTAATCAATGGAACGTAACGCAAAAAAGATAATGCAACTCTTATAGTTTATAAAAATAGAAATTATTATTATTATTATTTTCAAATAAAAATAAAATATTTGATTTTTATATTAAAAAAAAAAAAAAAAAATGTCTAAAAAATATTAAATTAATATGGTTCTCAACAAACTTCGAATTATACCACTACCATCATCCGAGGAACTACCCCTCGGTCTTCCTCGTGGTTGATACTTCATTTGCACCTTACGATTAATCCCTGAAAAATGACCATACCTACAAAAAAAAATAAATAAGAGACAATATTTTTTAAATATTCAGTGTTCATTAAAATTTTGGAAATTAAAATTTTTTTTTACCACAGTTTTCAATTTCTAATTCTAATTTCAAGGTTTTCTTAATTTGAAACCAAAAAAATTTCTTTTCAAATACATCAAATTTTTTCAATTACTGTTTACAACAAAAATTACTTTTTTTTTTTGTCAAATTCAAGAATCAACTATTATTTTAAATTTAATTGTTTTTGCAAAATTCCATCGCGTTTTTAATTTAATTCTCATTTATGTAAATTCAAATATATTATTAAATAACATTCAATTATTTTCATAATTAAAATATTTTTCAAAATTAAAAAAAATATAATTTTAAAAATTCAAAAATTTTTATAAAAATAAATTTTTTTTTATAACTTAAGTATTTTACAAAAAGCGGTTTTAAATAAAAAGAAAAATGTGCCTGAAGTTCTGAACATTATTTATTATTTGAAATTTATTTTTATATGAAAGCAATATTTCATAATAAAATTTTGATATTAAAAAAGTAGTGAAAAAAATTTTTGATTCATTTGAACGTTCATAATTTCAGGCACATCAAATATTAATATTTTGTTATGTTCAATAATTTTGTTAATTAAATTATTTTCATATTTAATCACCTTGTAACTTCAATTACTTCTATTCTTACAGAAAAAATAAATGAAATAATAATATTATTATTTCAACCAAAAAAAAAAAAAAAAAAAAATTATAAAATATTCTAATAAACTTAATACAGGCATCACGTTACCATTACTCCTCAAAAAAGGTGAAAATAGGAAGTTTTTTTTTCTAAAATGGGGGACAAAATAAATATAAAAACAAATTAAAATGTGTTTAAAGTCATAAAATAACAAATATATTCATACTAAAATATAATTTCTTACAGTTCTAAACTCTTTGATAGAAAGTAACTTTGTAATTAATAAAATTAAAAAATTGTTATTCTCTATATTATTTAGGCAGTAGATTAGTTAACTGAAACAGATTTATCGACTCTTCTCTCTTTTTTATAAATCTAATTCGAAATACATATTTACAAAGAAAATTTACATTTTTGATCAAAAAAAGATGAAAAAGGGACTAACTGTGATGCCTGATAATATTTAATAAACATTTGATTTGTATCGGGGTTTTTTTTTTAATAATTAATATAATGAATAAATTATAATAATAAATCATTTTTAAAAATATTTTTTAAATTTAGAAATTGAAAACTAAATTAATAAAAAGAAAATAAAAAATTAAAATTAGTAGTTAAAGATTAATAAATTATTACATACATTTCTAATACGTTCTTTAATTGTTCAAGTTTCCCCTGTTTTTCCTCAAGTTCAGGGCTTGCGGCTCGATGTTGTATTTCCGCCAATAAACTACGTGCTGTGTCCAAAATTTCTTGAAGTTGCTTAGGCCGTTTTAGCTTCACGTGTCCATGTTTATAACCATCGTACTTGGCAAATATTTCAAAAAACCTATCAATAATAATAATAATAATAATAATAATAATAATAATAATAATAATAATAATAATAATAATAATAAACATTAATTTCAATTTCATATTTTTTAAAAATGTTTTATTTCTCTCCCTTTATAATTATATAAAGATTTTGTCGCCGCTAAAAATCAGTCTAGAGTATTAAAATTTTTTTAAAAATTAGGTACTATTCATTCAGGGTGACAACTAAAATTTACAAACAAATTTTCAAACTTTTTATTTTTCTAAAAAATTAACATTTCTGCTGCATTGTTACTTGTAATCAACTGTGACAAAAATTATTAAAAAAAAAAAAAAAAAAAAAAAATGAAAATAGGAAACTAGTACTGTTTAGCACAATTTTTAAATTTTAGAATTTGTTTTTATCAAATCAATCAGTTATAAAATACGTTTTCACAAATTCTTAGTTTTTCATTTTTTTTTTTTTAGTTTCAATTTAAAAGAAAATGGAAATGCGAATTTTGAAATTTATAATTTACTTATATTTATTTAAAAAAAATTGTAAATTCAAAATAGAGAATGGACGCGCGAAACAATATAATATTATTGATATTTAAAATTACTCACTTTGGATGTCGAACTTCAACTTTCATTTTTTGCTTTGGTGTTCTATCGCCATGTCTAATAACCGCCACTACACAACGCAATTCCATCCTTAAATGAAAAAAAAAAAAACTATTAATATTTAATTCAATTTTTAAAACTATAAAGAATAATTGTAAAAATTCAGAATGTCTAAAATAGTTTCAAATATTCTGCATATTTATTTTTGACATTAATAAAAATTACAAAAAATAATTTCAAAACAAAAATAATAAAAGAATTTTATTTCTTAAGTACAGAACTTTTAAGACATCCTGTGCAACTAATAACAAACAAAGAAATAAAAAAAAAAAAAAGTAAATTAATATAATTAAAAAAGAAGTAAATTAAAAAATAAATGAATAATAAAATATTTAAATTACATTTTTCCAAAGGTAGTTGGAACAATTGGTGGATCGTCCAATTGAAAGGGAACACTCCAAGGAATGTGTAATGTAGGCGCAAGTTCCCGAAGAATCATATTCCCTAAAATTTTTGCACAATCGTCGTAATATTTATTTGAATTTTTTACAAAACTGAATCCATTCACGTCACAAACAAATGACTTTCCATTAGCTCTGAAAGTAATATAAGTAATTTAAATTTATTTTTTTAAATTACTAAATAATAAAAAAAAAATTTTTTTTTAAAGGCTGTAAAAAAATTAGAAATATTTTTTTCTTTTATGCACCTAAGAAGATCAAATCCACAGACAGTTTGCTTAAAAGCCAAGCAAACTTTTCGGCTAATGAGTTTTTCTACATTACTCAAAATTACGGGATAACGAATTTCTTTGCCCTCGGAATCTCTTTCGACTTTTCCATCGAGAGCTGGACTTTTTCTAGCCTCAGCATGTGCATAATCTGGCCCAACTGTATAAACTTTAACATCAGTACCATCGGTGGGCATAAAATCCTCATAAATGTACGATCCAGTCTTGCGAACTCGAGATTCTAACGAATATACACTACTACGACTTCCTATCTGTAATTATTAAAAAATTACTATTAATTAACATTAAAAATTGTATCATTATTTTATTACCATCAACCGGGGTTATTATGGTACAAGCTAGTTTTTAATTTGTAAAATATTCATTTCAAAATGTTAAAATTTCACAACTAGTTGTAATTGTAGTATGACATTTTATCAACAAAGTAACTGTAATGTTATTAGTAAATTCGGTTTTAGAAATCAGAAACTTTATAATAGATGAAAATGTTTTTTTTTTTGAAATTTGAAAGTTCTGTAAGAATCTTTGAAAAAATTAATAATTTTTAAAAATCCATGCGAAAAATTTTGAAGAATCATTAAAAAAAAAAGCGTGGAAAAAATTTGACGATAAAAAATATTTAATTAAACAACAAAATTTAAATATTTTAATATTTATAATTAAAATAATTACTTCTAAATTAATATGAATTAATTATATAATTATTAAATTAATTTGTTATTGAAAATAAAATTTTCGATTGATTATCGAATCACTGAAGACATGCTCATTGATAAAGTATATCAAATAAAAAGATTTGAAGATAAAAATTTATATGATTCGAATATTTTGTAATTGAATTAGGTCAAGATCTATATATTTATATAAACAAGAAAATAGTCCAAGTTTATAAAAATCGTAGTTACCTTTCTAAATAACCTTTGACTTCCTCCTCCAGCCGAAGTTGGATAATAAATATAAATGTTGTGATCTTCGGCAGACACTGGTTTCTCTACAAATGGTTTATTGAAAGTAACTCCATTAACTTCCACATGATCTTCCGATTCAACTAATTCATGATCTGAAATTTTTAATTTTTTTAATACTTTATATCTTTATACATTCTTATTATTTATTTATTTTACAAAAAAATTTTCCATTAATTGATTTGTAAGAAAATTAATTCTTTTAAATAAGAATAAAATATACATATTTAATACTTGATTGTATTTTAAATAAAATATAATTATATATTTATTTAATTGAAATTCAAAATTTTGAGAAAAATTTACAATCTTCTAATTATTTACGTTTTGGATCAGGTGAATCTCTATCGAGAACTGCATATCGAGGTATTTCGATGCCTTCACTTTCCAAAATGGCATAAACCCTTCTGCGATCCTGGAATAATATTCAAAAATTAATAATTAAGATTTTTATAATACGCAAAAATATATAATATTATATTTTTAAAAATTCTCTCAAAATTTTTCTCATCAATAACAAAAATGAAATAAATTTTCTTTGAAAAATTTGTATATTGATTAAAATTATATTGAAAATTGTATATTAAAAAAATGATAATAATTTAAAAATTTCAAATTATACATTGATTATTTGATTTATCCATATTAAGATGTTCAAATTTCTTTAGTATCATTTTTTTTCCAAATGAAATAATTTTATTTAACATTTTAAAAAATTTAAATTTAATAAAAAAAAAATGTCCAAGGTGGCGTGTATTTTTATACTGTAAAAATTGCATTGAAAAATTTCAATTTTATTTAATTTGATAAACTGATTTAAAAATTTGTCGTATTTTTTTTTTTTATTTTAGAACATTTCTTCAAAATTTATGAATTTATTAAAAAAAAATAAATAAAAAAAATAATTTCAATAAAAAATAAAACTACAAAAATTATTCCAAGAGAAAAAATTCCAATAATTTAAACCATTTATTTATCAATATTGATGTAATTACTCAATACTTAAGTGATTAAATAAAAATCGATTATTTTATATTATTATTACATACCTGAATATCATATTGCATTGGCAGATTATTTATATTAAATGGATTTCTAAGATTAGCGTAACTAATAGCTTTCTCAAGAGGGAAGCCTTTGCTGTGAAAGCTTATTAAACAGTCAACAATAGGCCAATTTTCAACAGGTTCCTGGAAAAGAAAAAAAAAAGAACAAATTTTGAAAAAAGTAGAAAAATTAAATTAATTGATTTTGTTGTCAATGAATAATAATCCAATTTTATTTTCACCATAAATAACAGAATTATAAATTATAAAACAAAAAAAATGTACCACTAAATAAATAAATAAAAATCAGGAAATTTATATTATTTTTTCAAATTTAAAACATAAATTATATATATTTTTTAATCGATTCACGTCCAAATTATTTTCTAAATTAAATTATTTTTATTAAGATTTAAAAAAATATAGGAAAAACTTCAGTGGTACCACGATTTTGATATCGCGATGCACAATATTATTTAAAAAAAATTTTATATTTAAAACTAAAAATGGTTCAGAAATTGTTTTTTTTTTTAATTTTTTCTATATATAGGAAATTAAAAAAAAAGTAGAGAATTGAAGTTCAAAAGAGAAATAGATAAAAATAATCTAAAATTACGATTCATAACAGACGAAAAATCTCTAAATCAATGTAATTAAATTCACAAAATAATTGAATTTAAAAAAAATTTACCAAAAATTTGTTACCTAAAGTAAATGAATTGTATACAATAGAAAATTAATTTTCAAATAATAATAATTATTATTATTATTATAAAATGCTTGATCTGTCCTTCTGTCCTAACTTGAAGTTGACCTTTTCTGATTTCACGTGTTTTTTTGAATAGAAATCTTATGACGTGTCAAATTTTGACAATTCTTTTTCTCATTTTTGCCAAAGTTGTATAATTGAGGGGCCGGAAACAATAACAACCAGTACGCTCGGCCGGTCGCTTTGAAGCCAATCAACACCTCAAAATTGAAACTCAAAATTCGGATTTTTCAGAAGCACTACTTTATAGAAGATAAAAAAACATATCTTTTTTCTCTTAGAAACTTTTTTAAATCCAATATTTTTGATAATAAAAGCAAAAAGTCCAAAAAAAATTTTATCAAATGTAATGAAATTTTAAAATGTAAACGATTATTTTTTTCACAAATAGTATAATAAATTTGTTTACAACTTGGTATACATACTAAATTAGGTCTAATAAAGCCATTAAAACATTAGAAAAGGCAAAAAAAATTATTGTTTTATTATTTTTAATTAAAAATTGAAAGAGGTCGATATTCACATTTTCTAACTTTTGACGATAAAATGTCTGCAGGGAATTTCAAAACTGTAAGAACTTCTCTTATAATATTTATATTATTTATATTTATTTATATTATATTTATAATATGCGTATTTTAAATATTTACAAAATATCAAGTATGAATTATAAATGTTACTAATATTAATATTGTTAACAATTCTAATACTAATGTACATACATATAAGATACTGATCACAAAAAATAAACATAACTTTCTTCTTATTTCACTAATTTCTTATTATTCGAGCCGAAATAATTTCACATACTTCAAGAAAGAGTCTCCAGCGGGTTAAGTGAACGCGATGGGCTATCCGCTTTTTCTTGAAAATTAATTTTTTTAAAAACTATAACAGGAATTGATTTGGAATTTTGCAGAAAACTTCCTGAAATAGTAGTGAATAAATATTATAAGAGAAGTTCTTACAGTTTTGAAATTCCCTGCAGACAATTTATCGTCAAAAGTTAGAAAATGTGAATATCGACCTCTTTCAATTTTTAATTAAAAATAATAAAACAATAATTTTTTTTGCCTTTTCTATTGTTTTAATGGCGTTATTAGACCTAATTTAGTATGTATACCAAGTTGTAAACAAATTTATTACTATTTGTGAAAGAAATGATCGTTTATATTTCAAAATTTAATTAAATTTGAGAAAATTTTTTTTTGGGTTTTTTGCTTTTATTATCAAAAATATTGGATTTAGAAAAAAATTTCTGAGAGAAAAAAGATGTATTTTTTATCTTCTATAAAGTGAAGCTTTTGAAGAATCCGAATTTTGAGTTTCAATTTTTTCACCTTTTTGACGTGTTGACTGGCTTCAAAGCGACCGGCCGAGCGTACTGGTTGTTATTGTTTCCAGCCCCTCAATTGTGTTTCCAAATTTCGGAATAAGTTTCTTTAAAATTTCAAATTCGAAAATTCAATTCACGAAGCTGAAGTACACAACGTTTACCAACGAAATTTTTTTTAAAGTTGTATATTCATTCAAAAATTGTATACAAATACAAAAAATTTATAATAAGAAAAAAGATGCGCCAGGAAATTTCGTACAAGATAGTAATTTGAAAAAAATTAATTTTTAAGGTACCAGGGGCCAACGAATATCTATTAAATATTAATTATAAAAACACAGGCCTCGAATCAACTTAAAGACACAAAAAGTCGTTTTAGTCGATTTATATTCCAAAAAAAGTGGATTTGTTTTTTATTTTAACAAAAATATTTTACAGATTTTTAAATAAAAAATTTTTTTTCTAATAATAATCCTTTTCGAAGGGTTAAAATTGAAATTTTTAGAAATAATTAAATTTCAAAAGATATTGTTAATTTTCAAACAATTATTAAATTTTACAGAACTAAAAATAATTTATCAAACAATTTTTGGAAAACATTTTTTAAATTTAATTGAATTTTCAAAGATTTAAAATTGAGATTTTTGAAATTAATTCAAACTTTAAGTGTTTTGTAATTAAAATTTTAGATGATTTCACTAAAAATTTATTAGAAAATGCGGACAAAATACAATAATTTGAAAATCATTTTTAATTGAAAAATGGTTTCAGATAGTTGAAATTTCAAAGAATATTATTAAAATAGTTAAAAATAATTGAATTTCCTTAGAGTTATAATTGAAATTATTAAATTTCAAAAAAAAAAATTTTCGATGGAAAATTTTAGAAATAATTAAATTTTAGATACTTTTAAATTCAAATTATTGGAAATTCAATTAATTTTAAATTCAAATTTTTGAGAATAATGAAATTTTATTTGATTTTAAATTTGGAAAATAATTGAATTTCAGTTCATTTTGAATTGAAAATTTTGGGAAATAATTGAATTTTAATTGAAATTGGATAATAATTTAATTTAAGTTCATTTTTGATTGAAAATTTGGATAATTAATTTTGAATAGAAATTTTAGAAAATAATTGAATTTTATTTCATTTTAAATTGAAAACTTTTGGTAAATAATTAAATTTTAAATTGAAAATTTTTTATAATTATTGGATTTTTAATTGATTTTGAATTAAAATTTCTTGTAATAATTGAATTTTAGTTTATTTTGAATTGAAATTCAATTTTATTGTGATATTTTTTGTTTTTTAAATTAATATATAAACAATTGTTAAATTTCATAAAAATTTTAATTGAAAAATAATTTTAATATAATTGAATTTGTGATAAATTTCATTAAAATTATTAAAAATAATTAATTTAGTGAAGAATCATTTTAGTTCAAAATTTGTTAAATAAATGAATTGAAGAAGATCTGAAGAAGATCTGAAGAAGATCTACATTTTATACTAAAAAAATGTATTTTATTTACGATAAAACTCGTATTTTTGAAAAAAGTCGGAAAAAGTCGTATAATCCGAGGCCTGTAAACATATAATTTTCATTATTATCATTTAATATGTAATAATATTCTAATAAATTAAATTATTATTGATAATATTAATCTTTAATTTCTTTATAACAATTAAATAGTCAATTTGGCGCGCTTGCTCGCGTTTAATTTTGCTAGTTCAATAAAATTATATTTTATTTTCAATAAAAAAAATTCAAAAACAATTAAAATTTTAATAGTTTTTTTTTAAAATTATATTTTTTTGGAAAAATAAATATTACAAGAAAATTTCCAATTAATTATTTTTCTTCTTTACATTGACAAAAAAAAAAAAAATTGTCTCCTTTTTCTGTTAATTTTATATAATTTATAATTAATAATTAATTGTAATACCTTTAAAATCACATCTTCAGCGAAAACAACAATTTTAATATATTCAAATTCCTCGAGACGAGTTAAAATTTCCTTCATTGGTTTACTTTGTGATTTTTTGGCCATAGCACATATTCCCACCAAAACTTGCTTCCCCTCCCCCTCAAGATCGCCCTGAAGGCAACCATCTTCACTGGCACACCCGTCCGACAGCTCGCCCTGTAATTAATTAAAACCATTATTTTTTATTATATACTCGCAATTTCATTGTAAAACAAGCAAATGATTATTTTCATTTAATTTCACTATCGTCCTGTTGATGATTATAATGTAATACAAATAAAAGTGTCAAAAAATTCTTCATAAAATTGAAAAAAAAAAATTAATAATTATTATTCACATATTAATAAAATTTCAATTAATTAACAATAATTAATAATAAAAAAAAACAATAACAAATATGAAATTTTTTTTTTAAATGCAAATTTTAAAAAATTATTATAATTTCTTTTAATGTTCTTGTAATTTGTAATATTGTAATTTTCGAAATTTTTTGGCGTCGCTCTTATCTTAACAGTAATTTTTCTAGTGAAATGTAAGTGCAATCACTTTCAATATATTTTATATATGAAAGACATTAAAAGAGTGTGAAGGCCATTTATTATATGAAATTGCACGTAAAACACGAGTGACATATAATTGACAAGATGGTGTGACAGATTAATTAAACCGCTCTGATGCGACGTGAAATTGATTTCAAAAACCTTTTCTTTTTCAATAATTCATTGCAAAAAAATTATTGAATAGAAACAAAATTTAAAAATAAAATTAATGTAAATCCATTTTTTTTTTAATCTAAAAAATATTATTTTTAATATTTTTAAAATACAAAAAAAAATAAAATATTGTCTTCCACACAATTTTCAAGAATAGGAAAAAAAAAGATATATTTTATTATATATATATAAAAAAATGAATACCAACACAAATAACTGACGTAAGATTCAACTGAAATATCCTTGAAAGAATGAAAAATTCGAAAATTCCATTTGAAGAATGTATAAGAAATGTAAGAAACACAAATATAAAATTTAAAATTACAAGCAAAAATGTGATAAATTTTCGAAAAAATAAATCGAATTCATTGCCTTTCATTCTTGAAAATTTGTTCTATTGCCAAACATTATTGTCTATAACAATCGAAAATTAGAAAAAAAAAAAAAAAAACGATTGAAAATGAAATTATAAAATTAGATGAAAAAGAGAATTAAAATAGAAAATTAATTAAACGAGATGAAATTCGTATTGTATATATAGTTTATATATATCTATAATAATAATGTTCAATAAAAGCAATTTTCCGCGACACTAAAAAGTTATAATCTTGACATTTAACTCAAAGATGTTATTCCGAGCAACTAGTTTAATAATTTTGCCAAGACGGCATTTTGTGTGGTATCAATTCTAAAATTGTGTTATTATACAAAAGCAAATTCAAGAAAAGTAATTGTAACTCGCGATATAATTTTCGCAATCTCTCTCTCTCCCTCGCAGCACACGAGCTCTAAAATCTATGTCAGGTAAGTTATATTATAAAAGTAAAATCAATTGGCAGATCACGTACCAGCATTTGTGTAGCTGGCCACAACAAAGAGGCTTTACAGATGTCATTACTAAAATATACCTTTCTCTCTCTCTCTCTCTCTCTCTGTGTATCCAAAAAAACCTCTCTAAATTTAGAGACACACACGCAGCCGAAAAGCTTCACCAAAGTCAAAAGATTTTATAAAAGCATGCTATTTAGAAATGTATATACACACAAACAAATTATATAGATAACACACACACACACACACACACGAACGTAAAAAGCATATATATCTATCTATAACGATGCCAAAACATTACATTATGCAATTTTTCATTTTTTTTTTTTGTTTTCATTGTACAATTGTTATGATTTTTCTTGTTATTATTATTAGCTGCGGCAATGTGCAATTTTAGCGTGAATTAAATATTGCGAACACGGTTACATAAAAATTCACATTTACATATATAAATTTACTATACAAGACACACTGACGACGTCCTGATGAAAAAAAAGTAATTTACAATTTTTTCATTAAAAATTCGTTATTATTGTTATTCGAAGAAAGGTAAAGCAAAAAATAGGTTATGTTTTGAAATTTTTAAACTATATATACACAAGCCTTCTATAGAAAAAATCGATTGAAAACGATTAAAAACAATAGGAAAGAAATTTTATATTGTCCCCAATCGTGTTCTTAGGCTGCGTCTACAATAGATTAAAAAATGTGTAACGATCGTATAGTGTAGTGTAGTGTAATAAAGCCGTGACTTAGAATATTGCAAATTAACTGCTGCTAATAAACAAAAACATAACCTCAAATTCAGATTTTTAGGGTTTCGTGGCCCATGGCCGAAAGCCTTATAGTTTCACTTTGGCGTCCGTCTGTCCGTAGTATATTTTGGGGCACCACAGCTCCCAAAATCAAATTTTAGGGCACAGATCCCAAATTAAAATTTTGGGGCACCACAGATCCTAAATTCAAATTTTGGGGCCCCACAGATCCCAAATTAAACTTTTGGGGCACCACAGATCCCAAAATCGAATTTTGGGGCCCCACAGATCCCAAATTCAAATTTTGGGGCCCCACAGATCCCAAATTAAACTTTTGGGGCACCACAGATCCCAAATTCGAATTTTGGGGGCACCAGAGATCCCAAATTCGAATTTTGTGGCACCATAGCTCCCAAATTCGAATTTTGGGGCACCACAGATCTCAAATTCAAATTTTGGGGCACCATAGCTCCCAAATTGAAATTTTGGGGCCCCACAGATCCCAAATTCGAATTTTGGGCAAACATAGCTTCCAAATTCGAATTTTGGGGCACCACAGATCCCAAATTCAAATTTTGGGGCACCATAGCTCCCAAATTCAAATTTTGGGGCCCCACAGATCCAAAATCTCCATTTACTGAATGGACATTTTCCCGAATGGACATTACATGAATGGACATTACATGTCCCATTAGTTAACATGCCCCTATAATTAACATGTCCCAGTAGTTCACCTGTCTTAGTAATTGACATGTCCCAATAGTTGACATGTCCATATAGTTGACATGTCCCTATAGTTGACATGTCCCTATAGTTGACATGTCCCTATAGTTGACATGTCCCTATAGTTGACATGTCTTAATAGTGGACATTATCGAATGGACATTTTACCTAATGTTTTTGTTTGTGAATCAAAAAAGATAAATGATAGAAGAAAGACCTCCACTCCACAGCCACTCTTTCTTTTTTCTTTCATTTACCTTTTTGAATTTTGATTTTGCCAATTTTTGATTTTCTTCGAATTTACTGTCTGGGGGAGAATTAATTTATAGAAATTAATATTTTATAATTTATAATTAATTTATAATAAAAATTTTGCTAAATAAATAAAATTTAATAGTACATAAAATTTATAAAATAAATTTTATTATTTATTTTTAAATTATTTATTTTTGATTTATTTTTTTTTAATTAAAATTTAAAGCGCCACGAAACCCTAGATGTAGGCGCATTTGCGCCTAGTTCTTTTCCTATTTTTAATATTGAAAATTAAAATTAATAATTAAATTAATATTAAAAATCTGAATTTGAGGTTATGTTTTTGTTTATTAACAGCAGTTAATTTGCAATATTCTAAGTCACGACTTTACACTACACGATCGTTACACATTTTTTAATCCATAGTAGACGCAGCCTTAGGCTGCGTCTACAATGGATTAAAAAAATGTGTACCGATCGTGTATAGTGTAGTGTAAAGTCGTGTTTCTTGTATGACTTAGAATATTGCAAATTAACTGCTGTTCATAAACAAAAACATAACCTCAAATTCAGATTTTTAATATTAAAAATTAAAATTAAGGCCATCCGGGAAAAATCCCTATAACCTAAAAATGTTTTGATTGGAGGGAATAATAGAGGAAGGGTCAATGAGTGGGGCTCTTCTCCATTTTTGCAATAACATTGTGAGGAAATTATTTTATTAAGCCCAGGTCCAAGTGAGGCAGCGCCATCTACATTAAAAGGAAAATTTTGGAAAATTTTCAACAGCCTTTTCTAAAAACCAAGATGGTAAAATACTTTTTCCTTTATGGATAATTGCTTATTGGCAAGATATTATATACCAGCTAAAACTTTTTTTGAGTTAAAATGATGAAAAAAATTTCATGTCGATGAAATTAAATATGAGCACTTTTTTCACAAAAACTGTAACAGTACTTTCTCAGAAATTACAATCAAAAATGCAATTTCCATTTGGAAAATTAATAAACGCTAAAAAATACACGACCTAAGATTTACCAATCACGAAAATAATAAAAAAAAAAAATTTATTAAATATTTAACATATTGATACTGCTTTACTGATTGTGACAGCCATTTTGTAGATTTAGTATTTCAGGTGGTTAGCAACAGCGCCAATCTCCTCCTTTCGGCAAAACTGCGAAACGTCTGGTGACATATAAAACCTGCCAAACGGCTGTCATAATGAGTAAAATATGTTATGTTAAAATACTTTTTTTTTGTTATTTTCGTGATTGGTAAATCTTAGGTCGTGTATTTTTTAGCGTTTATTAATTTTCCAAATGGAAATTGCATTTTTGATTGTAATTTCTGAGAAAGTACTGTTACAGTTTTTGTGAAAAAAGTGCTCATATTTAATTTATTGACATGAAATTTTTTTCATCATTTTAACTCAAAAAAAGTTTTAGCTGGTATATATCTTGCCAATAATCAATTATCCATAAAGGAAAAAGCATTTTACCTTCTTGTTTTCAAGAAAAGGCTGTTAAAAATTTTCCAAAATTTTAGTATTAATGTAGATGGCGCTGCCTCACTTGGACCTGGCCTTAAAGATTTAAAGTGGAGTAATTTGGGGTAAGTTAGTTCAGCAGCGGCCACTATAGCTAGAATTGGCGCCACATAGATTCTTTCATTTTGTTTAAAATATAAAAAATTAATTTGTCTAAATTTCCACTCAAACACTTTTTAAATTTAAATTATTATTCTATTTAAAGATTTGAAAATATATAAAGAAGTAATATGTATATTAAAAAATTTTCGATATCTATATTTTTTCATCAGGATGTCAGAAGAATATTTTTATGATTTACACACAATTTTTATCAATAAAACATTCAAA